ATGCCTTGAAAAGTAGGTGAAAGAGAGACAAAATAACATACAGGCATATACAGAAGAAAAAGGCGAGAGAGAAGTACTCCAGAATATTAGAAAAAATAATAAGCACACACACACATGTACTAGTATACAGTTGTCCCTCGGTATCCACAGAGGATTGGTTCCAAGACCCCCATGGATACCAAAATCCTTGGATGCTCTAGTCCCCTACATAAAACGGTATAGTATTTGCATATAACCTAGCACACCCTCTCATGTATTTTAAACCAACTTTAGATTACCAAGAGCACCTATACAATGTAAGTGCCATGTGAATAGTTAGTATACTGTATTGTTAAGGGATCAACTTTCCAGGAATTTTAAAGTTATTTTCCATCTATGGTTGGTTGAATCTGTGGATAGAGAACCAGTGGATACAAAGGCCCAACAGTATATGCTTACTTGATCCCCCCAAGAGTCTTAGGAGGTGGGCAGTATAATTTTAGATGAGAAAACCGAGGCTCACGGAGGCTACATGAAGCCAGAATTCAAACCCAGGTGTGCATGACTCAAGCAGTCTCTTAACGTCCTACTACTCTGTGGTTAGAGCCCTGGGTGAGGTTTTGTTTTGGTATTTTAATGTATTTTCTGTCATGAACCATCTATCATCATTTTTCTCCTTAGGAGAGAAAATATACATGAATGTCATTTTCAAGGACAGAAAGACCTGGGGTGGGGCTGAGGTGTATCTGCCTTGCCCTGGGCTTTCTTCTCACAGTAAAAGGTGGCAGACTCATAAGGCGGTCCCCAACTTTCCAAAGACCCCAAGGCACTGCCGAGATGGCTGCTCCTGAAATATCAGTGGATTCAGTTCCTTAAATGCACCCAGTCTCTTCGCCATGACTAACTAATGTGCTGGACTAGGTCTGGGAGGCCCTGAACCAACCAAAGCAGTTATGAGATGGAATTTGTCCCTCAGCTCCCCGCAGGGCAAATGCGCAGGCTCTTCTGCAACTAGTGCTGAACTGAAATGTGCTCCTCATGCTCCTTGGTGCCCGAGGGCAGGGACAGTGTTATGATCTGCCTGGCTACAGTCTGGGTTATAACCAGGCCTGGTGCCCAGCACATGGCCAGATTCATAGTAATGATCAATAGGTAGACCATTGGTAGAATGAATAAATGAATTGATTAATCAATGGCTCCAAAGGAATATTTCTCTTTTTTCAAAGTTTTTTTTTTATTGATTTTTAGTTTTTAGATATATTTTATTGATTTTTTTACAGAGAGGAAGGGGAAGAGATAGTCAGAAACATCGATGAAAGAGAAACATCGATCAGCTGCCTCCTGCACATCTCCTACTGGGGATGTGCCCGCAACCAAGGCACATGCCCCTGACCGGAATCGAACCTGGGACCCTCCAGTCCACAGGCCGACGCTCTATCCACCGAGCCAAACCAGCTTCAGCTTTATTGATTTTTAGAGAGAGACGGGAGGGGAGCAGGTGAAAGAGAGAAACATCGATGTGAGGGCAAACCATCAATCTGCATACCCCCCTCACCACAGTGGTTCTCAACCTGTGGGTCGCGACCCCTTTGGTGGTCGACCGACCCTCTCACAGGGGTCGCCTAAGACCATCCTGCATATCAGATATTTACATTACTATTCATAACAGTAGCAACATTACAGTTATGAAGTAGCAACGAAAATAATTTTATGGTTAGGTCACAACTTGAGGAACTGTGTTTAAAGGGCCAGAAGGTTGAGAACCACTGCCCTACCAGGATGGAACTTGAAACCTGGGCATGTGTCCTGACCAGGAATCAAACCGGTGACTTTTCAGTGCATGGGATGACATCCAATCAACTGAGCCACACCGGTCAGAGTAGGAATGTTTCTTAAACTCTAGTGTTTATCCAAGACACCCAGAAAGCTGGGTGAAAATTCAGATGCCGGGCCCTATTGCCAGAGATTCAGGTTCAGTAAATCTTACCCCGGGCCCGGGAACATGCATTTTTGACAAACTCCCTCCATGATTCTGACGTAGTCAGCCAGTCCTGGTTATCTATTGCTACGTACCAACTGCCCCAAATGTAATGGCTTAACAAAGGTAATGATTTCATTATATCTGCAATTTTGTGGGTCAGGAATTCAGGCAGCGTGGCTGGTGAGCCTTCTGTTTGGTGTGGTCCCCATGGAGGTGCGACGTTCCAGATGTCAACCTTACACCTTTGCTTGGCCTCTCTCAGGGGCTCTCAAACTCCTTGCAGGAGGTTCTGGGATCCAGGAATAGTAGAAGCCACAGGGCCTTTTATGACTCTGCCTCAAAAGTCACATTATGTCACCCTATTGGTTGAAGCAGTCACAAGCCCTCCCAGATGCAAGGAAAGGGGAACAGCACCTGCCTCTTCATGGGAGCGCCCATGTTTTAACCGCCCTCCCCACACCCCCAGCCCAAGAACGCCACTTTGAGAAACACGTCTGTAAAGGAAGATCTTCTTTTAACTGGATGTTGTGTTTAATTACAGCAATGTTTCCCAACGCGACACGCATTTCTCTGCAGGTACATCAGATAATTCTAGCAGGCACACCTGAACATTTAAAAGGCATATGTGTTTATTCATGTCTACATTTAAAAATTATACCTACCAGGCATGGTTTAATGGGTTTCATCGTTTTTATATTATACCTTAACAGTGACGGCGAACCTTTTGAGCTCGGCATGTCAGCATTTTGAAAAACCCTAACTTAACTCTGGTGCCATGTCACATATAGAAATTTTTTGATATCTGCAGCCACAGTAAAACAAAGACTTATATTTTTGATATTTATTTTATATATTTAAATGCCATTTAACAAAGGAAAATCAACCAAAAAAATGAGTTCGCGTGTCAGAGGTGTCAGAGGCTCGCCATCACTGCCTTAGGACAACGCTAAATTATGTTTAACCATTCAATTTAGGAACAATGAAAGGAAACCCATTACGAGTATAAAAACACATGTGGTAAGAGATATAAGAGCCCCAGTGTGGCACTCAGATGTCTGGGAAGCCCTCATTGTGGAATTAACTTATAAATCTTAGTTCTGAAATTTTTCCCTGGTATCTGTATCCTGGCTCTTCCTGTCTTTCTTTTCCTAGTTGGTCCTGCCTCTCAGTATAATTAGAAAAACTCTCCATGAAGAAAGAGGCAGCATCCTTTTTGCCTGGAGACAGAAGCCCAATCTGATGTCCCCAGTTTTCATGGGCGGTCACCTGCTTTTATCTTTGTCTTTAAAACGGTTTTCTTTCCCTGGAAAGGTCATTCCTGATCCTTCCCATCTGATGTAGGACTTGGTTTTTTTTAAGCAATGCCTTTAAATGGTAATTTACAGTTAAGCTGAGCTGTTTACAGTTTAAAAACAGCCAATTCCACTTGGCAACTGATCTGTTCCCAAATCCCTGAAACAGGAAAATCGAAGCAGTAAAGACAGGTTTCTATTTCCAGCCCTGGTCGACTTAAAACTGAGAGGGTCTTGCCTTAACTTTGTGGCCCATCTGAAATGGTATGGTGAGCATTTTCATTAATTTAAATTCCACAAATTTTGAAATACAAAGTAATTTGGACCAGAGCTGGACTAGAGTATACATAGCATGCTCCTGAATTTATAAAAATAAAGTATCAATTTGCTGCTTACAAAAGTAATACTGGTGCATTGTAGAAAAAAATTTAATTACAAAAATTAATCTTGGAAATCACAAGTTCCTCTGGCTGGTTCCATATTCACCAGATAAATCATTCTTTTGAGGAAGTATTTCCTGAAGCCTGCCATGTCTAAGAAAATTGCCAGAGGTCTGAGAGTGAGGTGTGTATGATGGCCCGGGTGACGCCCTTGCCCTTGGGGTCAAGGAAGCATAACTGGATGAGATGAAGAGCAAAGCCAGTGGGAGGTCATGGGTCTCCCATGCTCCAGGGAGGAAGTTCTCTCCTCTAAGAGGGCTTCCAGGGGTCGTAGGTCTTAGACATAGAGGGGTGTAGGGAGGAGAGGTTCAAGTTTAGGGGAGAAAAGTAAGAAAAAAATATGAAGGAAAATGTGTTTGGACATCGGGCCTGGAAGGGGCCTACAGATGGACTAGTTCAACATCATATTTTCTGGAGCTGGTAGCATCTTTTTCATCTGGTGTTCAGTTTATTTGGCAATGACCTTTAATGTTTTTATTTCAGACACCACAAATTTGAAGTGATAGGACACTGTTAAAGGTAAACAAAGCCGGACACTAGTGAGAGCTGCAAGGATAGATTTTATTTAGTAACTAGAGGCCCGGTGCATGAAATTCATGCACTGGTGGGGGGGGGGGAGGAAGGGTCCCTCAGCCCAGCCTGTGCCCTCTCGCAGTCTGGGAACCTCAGGCCAGGCCAGCCTCTTGCAGGCTGGGAGCCCTTAGGGGGTGTCCAACTGATGGTTTAGGCCCGCTCCCGGCGGGGGGGGTTGGAGAGGGGGGGGGGTCTAAGCCATCAGTCGGACATCGTTAGTGCTACCATGGAGGTGGGAAAGGCTCCCTCCACTGCTGCTGTGCTCACCAGCTGTGAGCCCCAGCTTCTGGCTGAGCGATGCTCCCCCTGCAGGAGTGCACTGACCACCAGGGAGCAGCTCCTGTGTTGAGCATCTACCCCATGGTGGTCAGTGCACATCATAGCAACCAGTCATTCTGCTGTTCGGTTAATTTGCATATTAGCCTTTTATTATATAGGATAACTACTGCAATAGGGAAGAAGGTCCAGCATGAGGGCAGTTCAGCTTCAAAGAAACGAGGCAGGGGACCTTTTAAAGATTGGGGTGTGTTAAGGGAAAGGCACTGAAGGGCACTAGGGGAGTTGGTCCATGTGGCCGGCCACCTGGATTTGCTACTTGGTGCTTATTCAGAGGAAAAACACATTTCTTGAATCATTATGACAGGAGGCATCAGTGTAAATTAGAGCCTTTGCTTCCCATGGAGAATGAAATTGGGAGTTCTCTTCTGAATGTTTGCCTTTCTAAGAGCTGACTCTCTGGTCATTGAAATGAATGGAAAGTGAAGGAATCAGGGAAGGAAAATGCTAATTGAAGAAGAAGAAGAAGAAGAGGAGGAGGAGGAGGAGGAGGAGGGGAAGGATACTAGTACACACTTGGAAACTATATTATGGTCTCTTAATTCTAGATGATAACTAAGCTACAATCCTGACTCCCCTGTTTCATCATAAACTCCTGGCTGGCAGGGCTCATGTCTTCCTCCAGTTTGCATGTCCAGGACCATACACATACTGTGCAGAGTGGGTATGAACAGAACCCTTTACTTGTGGTGCCGCAATGGTATGCCTTGCTTTTACTGAAGACAATGCCTTCCAAAGGTAGCCTTGTAGACAAGTTATGGAGGCAGGACGAAAGTGTCATCTGCTGGGCTTCTTCTGCTTGAACAGTGGAACCCAGCAACTGTTAAACTGCCGGTGACACAACCCTGAAGAGCCATCCTTCCAGCCCAGCTCTTCCTTCTTCAACATGGAAGGGTATGTGCACATGTGCTGGGGAATATAACAGCTCCAGACAGTTCAGGGCATGCAGGTGCGCCATTTCTAAGCTGTGCTCAGGCCCAGGTAAAGGAAGAATCAGATTTTCCCTCAAATGTAATCCTCCTGGAAGCCAAAGAATGTGCTAGGAACTATGAAGGTTATTGCCTATTTTCAAAACATCCCTTCCCCCCTTTAGCTCCTCCTTCTCAGAATCTTATTTACTAGAAAGGACAGGCATAGCTAGCCTTCACTACTGAGAAGCATCAAAATCAGCTTTTATTTTCATTTTTAAAATAGATGCATATTGTAAACAATTTGGAAAATGGAGAATAAAAGCAGACATAATTTCTCACTACTGCTCCCTCCCCGCCCCCCAAATAAGCACTTATAACATTTTGATTTCCTTCCTGTCTTTGTTCTACTTGTTTATATCACTTGACCTAGTTCATATTGTGGAGAAAGAACCCTCTCCTCAGGGTTTTGCTGTAAAGGTCAATGGATCCAGCTAACTAACAAGAAAACAACCACACTTTATAGTTGCATAACTTTTAATTTATCAAAGCACATTGGCATCCAGCATCACCTCGGGTGGTCAGATCAGACTAAACCATTTATCTGGAAACCAAGGTCAGAGAGCAGAGAGGGCATCTCGCCTCACAAGGCGTGGCTGGAAAGAGTCAGGGCCAGAATTTGAGGTCTCTAGCTTTCCCCCTGTAATGATGTCTATTGTCCTTTCCAGTGAACGTGTGCGTGTCTCAGTACAGAAATTCCGTTTGCGAGCTAGGACTTCTACTTCCTGTGGTTTATTGTTGTGCCATAGAACACATTTGTATTTAATGTGTCTGCTGGGCTGCCAGCCTGGGAACTCTGCCACCATCGCACACACAGCAGCAGTTTGCTCACCATGCACCAGTTTCCTCTGTCGCCCGAGCAGCTGGGCTCAGCCCCTGGCAGCGGGCACCTGGGCACAGCGCTGCCTCTAGAGCTCTCTTGCCAGAAGAAACTTGCCTCCGTAATCTGCCAAGTACCTGCCTCTGCCACCAGGTATGGTTTGTAGCTGTGCCTGTGACCTCACTAGCCGGCCGCTGCTGGAAGGATGGACCGTTCCACAGAGAGCTTTCTATGTAAGTGGTACCTTGACCATCTGGCTCTCACCTCCCTGCCCGGCTCTCACCAAATTTCTTTACCACAAAAAAGCGGTTCCGTATTTGCTAAGGCTTTTAATTTCTGGGTGGTTCTTTTTTTCCCAATTTCTTTTTAAAATATTGCCCCCTCTCTGCCTCTTTGCCTATGTCATCTTTCCCCTCCTCCCAATCCAATATTTTGGGTTAACATCACAAATGAGATAGGGGTTAAAGAGAAAAAAGAGGCAGAGAGGGGCAAAGGAGCCCATAGAAAGAGAAACCAGAAGTGAGAGAAGCCATGGAAGATTCAAGAATTTCTGTATGAGGCACTTTGATAAAAAAATAAAATGTTTCTGTGACATGGTGTTTTTTTAGATGAATAATGGGTCTCATGAAAATTACCACATCTGATTATCAACTTTTTACATATGTCTCTCAAGCAATTTGAAGCTGACATTTCTTCAGCACGAAAGGCTTGCCCGTTTTATTTTTAAACATCAAAGACTATTTTGTAAATGCAAATCTATTTTCACATAGAATTCTTATCGTTTTTCCTGAAGGAAAAAAAAAAATCGGTCAGTCTATTCCTTTGACCATCAAATCCAGCCAGTTGTATTAATCATCATTCTTTATTCACTGCAAGGCCCCTGGTGGTTCTGTTTGGAACTATTTATGTCAAGGTTCTAATACCATTTATTTCTGGATTGTTCGTTTTCTCTTCCATCTATCTGAGCCCAGTGAAGAGCTTACATAACAGTGAGGAAAGCAGTAAGGCTAATTGCTGGGATGTGACTGGGTTTGTGAGTGAGCCAGTCAAGTGGCCCAATGGTGGCTTCAATTGCCTCGGTTCTCTTGAGCATTTCCATCACCCTCAGCCTCAGAGCTGTCCCTGAATCTTTAATGAGCATCCTTCTCTCTACAAACCCCACTCACTCACACTGTTCGTTGGAAAAGTAAGATCAAGGCCACATTGGGGTGCCTACCTGAGCCAGCTATAGTCACTCAACCTAGCCTGTCACAGACACTGGTCACCTCAGCACAGCCAGATGTTTAGCTCAAGAGCCAGGCAGCCAAAGCATTCTTTTTGGCTGAAATTTTTTGATTGAACTCGGGGGTGTTTTGTTCAAACGGGTCAAGAATGAAATTGAGTGGCTTCCGCCTTGATTTTTCAAGGTCCTTAAGTACCTCATCTCATAAAAGTCAAAGGCAAAAAAATAAATTGTACCTTATTTTTGGATGCTAATTATTTTCAATATAATTCTATTCAGTCACCACTCATCTCACTTCCCCTAATTGGCTCAGATCTGCTCCTTGGTTTCATCACCTCATCCCTACGTGGGAGGAAGCACAGGGTTTTTGGGTTTCAAAGGAGCTGTTCACAAAACTGACTCACAAACGAAATCAGTGGTGTCCTACCTGAGCTCATTCTCCACCCTGAATCCTTTCCTTCGAGCCAGCTCCATGAGGAAGGCTCTGCGGGTGGTTCCCATTTTCTTCTCCAGAATGAAGAGGACCAAATCTCGGAACTTGATGTCCTGAGGAGGAGAAGCCATCGAGGCACCCATCTGCCTGGGTCTCTTCTTCCGAGGGCCCGGGTGGGCCATTTGCAGTGAGTCCATGGGAAGGCGGCTGCTGCTGCCCCAGCTGTGTCTGAAGGTGGTGTCTCCAGCAGTGAGGAGAGTCTACCCCTCCTTCAGAAGAGCTCTGATGTCATCTCACCAGCAGGCTCTGAAGCCAGGGCAAGGTTCCTGGGCCCTTCCCTGGTGATGTTCTTACTGCTGGAGACTGATGGGAAATTTCTGTCTCGTTGTCCAATGTGGAGATTATAACAGAAACAGGAAATTAATGTTTGCTTTCCTATGCTATGTATAATCTCCTCAGATCTTATGAGAAGGGTAGGGAAGCATCATTTTCCCATTTTATTTATTTATTTGTTTGTTTGTTTATGTGTTGAGGCCCCTCTTGTCTTTACTTTTTATTTCTTTTAATCTCCCAACTTGCTTGCATTTTCTTCCTTTCGTAGACAATCATTGCAATACATGGGATTTCTAGAATTCACATGGCTGTTATAATACATTGTATGTGTCTGTTTGGAGTTTACATAAATGGCAGTGTTATATTTCTCATTCTGCTGATCACTTATTTCACTCAAAACTATGTTTCCAGCCAGGGTGGTGTGGCTCAGTGGATTGAGCGTTGACCCATGCACCAAGAGGTCACCAGTTCAATGACCAGTCAGGGCACATGCCTGGGTTGCAGACTCGATCCCCAGTAGGGGATGTGCAGGACACAGCTGATTGGTGTTCCTCTCACATTGATCTTTCTATCTCTCTCTCCCTTTCCCTTTCTCCCTGTCTCTCTGAAATCAACAAACACATATTAAAAACAAACAAGCTATGTTTTCAGATCCATCCATGTTGTTCTGTGTTCTAATCTATTGCTTATAATTGCTCCATAGTATTTCATGGTGGGCATTTTAGCTATGTTGATACATTTTATAAGTGGGAAAAAAACAAGATTCAGACAAGTTGCTCAAGATCGCAGAATAAGTGGCAGAACCAGATCTTGAATTAGGTCTTCAGACCCCACATGGTATCTGTCTCAGCTTTTTCAGTGGACTCAAAAGTTGTCTAGAGAATAGCCTATTATAGGCCTCAAAAACGGATCTTGTGGGATAAAATGGGCTGATCTTTTGATGATAATTACTGCCACAAAGAGATCTTTTCATAACTTTATGTGCAAATGAAATTAGTGTCTTTCATTGATACACTTGATAGATCTCATTTCCTGAGCATCTCTGTGTGGCAAAGGCAAGTACCGACAAGCTTCAGCTGACTGAATCCACACCACACTTGTTGAGTTGGTACTAACATTCCCATTGGGCTAAACAACCTGCTCAAACTCACAGAGCTGGTAAATGGTCTCAAGTAGGAAATGTTACAGAAGGGATTCAAATACCGTATCTCATAAGGACTTTTAATGCAGCTCCGTGGTTCCAGGATGTTATGACTGCTTGCTAACGATCAAAACCTGGGGATGAGGCCATTCTGGCCCTCACTGTTCATTGGGCCTTTGGTGGTTGAAATGCTGAAAGCTTCATGGGAGAACAGTCTTAACTACCAAGTGGCCCTGCATCATGGAGCAAGCAATAGACTCTGGCAAGAGCTGGGGTTGTTGTGTTCATCCCCACGGTATGGCCAGAGGAAGAACCGGCAAACGGATGGAGACCTGGCACAGAGATATGACCGAGAGCTCGGGCTCTGACATCTGGCTGTGGGTACAGATCTCACCTCCTTTGCCTGCTGAGCTGAGTGCTAGGCCCAGAGGACGCCCTTTAAATTAATATCAGTTGGTGGTAATTTGGTATTTTGTCTTTAAAGAAGTCCCAGTTTGGTCTGAAATTAGATCTCTATGTATTATAACATTATAAATCATCAAGATGCTATACCAGCCATTGTCTTATTTAATTTGCTTTGAATCACTGCTATTGAAAATATTACCCCCCAAAATTTAAAATGTGATGATGCCTGTCTGGTTCTTAGGCTATTTATTGTCTCTTAGCTCCAACTCTACTTTTCTCCTAGGCCCTGCCAGTAGGGGGCAGTAGAGGGAGACTGCAAGGCTGGAGAGAGGAGGACTTGATCTCCTTGGTTTGCTTGATGGTACTGTCAGGGTCTTTTCATGGTTCATTACTCCGACAGCAGCAGCTGGTCCCATACTCCAGCTTTTTATTTATTATTTTTACCTCCCTAGCCGGTTTTGCTCAGTGGATAGAGCATCAGCTGCAGACTTAATGGTCCCGGGGTTTGATTCCAGTCAAGGGCACATGCCTGGGTTGTGGGCTCGATCCTCAGTGGGGGGCGTGCAGGAGGAAGCAGCCGATCAATGATTCTCTCTCATCATTGATGTTTCTATCTCTCCCTTTCTCTCTAAAATCAATAAAAACATATTAGAAAATAAAATAAAAAAGATAGGATGAACATATCTGCCTGGCCCACTGTGGGCCCAGATTCTGCCCTCTCCTTCACCCTGCAGTCCCACGTGCTGCCAGACACGTCCCGAGCTCCTGACTTGGGTGGAGGATGACAGCCACGAGGAAACCGAGAGCACACCAGGTCACTGGCCGCTCTTCGTATCTCAGTGTGGATTTGTTTCCCCATTTGGGGCAATACTTGGCGCCCACATACATGATGGTTTTAGAGAGCTTTACTGAGTGTGTGTGAGTGGGCAGGGAAGAAGGGGAAGGAGGCAGGTTTTCCCTGGTTCACTGGAGAAGTGAGCCTCTTCCCACCAGCAAGCATCGCTTCATCCCTGGGAGCCCAGCTGTCCTGTGGACGTGCCCTGGGAGAAGTCCGTTTGGGAGAGAAAACGTCTGCTTCCGGCAGTTTTCTTTTCTTTTATATGAAATACCGTGTATCCTCTACTCATTTCAAGCTGTGCATCTGGGAGCTTTGCCATCCTTGACTGTGCGGGCAGCGTTTGGTTTGGTTTGGTGTTTTTCTCTGAGCACCAGCTTCCTCTGCTGCCTGAGCAGCTGTGTTTGGTTCTTGGCAGTGTGGAGCTGCCTCCTTCGGAACACTGGGAGTTTCCTTTTATACGTACACATAGGGCGGTGGTTTCATTTTATTAAAACATTTATTTCAATTACAGTTGACATTCAGCATTATATTAGTTTCAGGTGTACAGCGTAGTGGTTAGGTATTTACATATTTATGCAGTGACTCCCCCAATCAGTCTAGTACCCACCTGACACCACACAGTTATCACAATGTGATGGACTGTAGTCCCTGTGCTGTTCTTCGCATTCCCGTGACTATTTTGTAACTACCAATTTGTACTTTTCTGAATCCCTTCACCTTTTTCACCCAGCCCCCGGCCCCAGCCCCCTTCCCCTCTGGCAACCATCTGTTTGTTCTCTGTATCTATGAGTTTGTTTCTGTTTTGTTTATTTTGATTTTTAGATTCCACCTATAAGTGAAATCATATGGTAATTTTCTTCCTCTGTCTGACTTATTTCACTTAGCATAATACCCCCTAGGTCAGTGATGGCGAGCCTATTACACGCGTGTCAGAGGTGACACACGAACTCATTTTTCTGGTTGGTTTTTCTTTGTTACTGTAGTCCCTGTGCTGTACTTCGCATTCCCGTGACTATTTTGTAACTGCCAATTTGTACTTTTCTGAATCCCTTCACCTTTTTCACCCAGCCCCCGGCCCCAGCCCCCTTCCCCTCTGGCAACCATCTGTTTGTTCTCTGTATCTATGAGTTTGTTTCTGTTTTGTTTATTTTGATTTTTGGATTCCACCTATAAGTGAAATCATATGGTAATTTTCTTCCTCTGTCTGACTTATTTCACTTAGCATAATACCCCCTAGGTCAGTGATGGCAAACCTATGACACGCGTGTCAGAGGTGACACACGGAACTCATTTTTTTGGTTGATTTTTCTTTGTTAAATGGCATTTAAATATATAAAATAAATATCAAAAATATAAGTCTTTGTTTCACTATGGTTGCAAATATCAAAAAAATTCTATATGTGACATGGCACCAGAGTTAAGTTAGGGTTTTTCAAAATGCTGACACGCTGAGCTCAAAAGGTTCGCCATCACTGCCCTAGGTCCATTCATGCTGTTACAAATGGTAAGATATCATTATTTTGGGGGGGAGGAGGGGGCTGAGTAATATTTCATTGTAGATATATCTAAAAATCTTTACATTTTTCCTTTTGTCATTGAGAAGAAATCTGTAGCTATATATCCTTGATGCTAATAAATACAAGAAAATTCTATATTTTAGTGATAACTTGGGGTTTCACCTTCGTCTACAAGGTGAAAAATGATGCCAAGAACAAGGGAATTGATGGAAGCAGCAGCTTATATGTGACTTCTAGTCTCCATTAGTGAACTCCAGCTGTGCATACGGCGGTAGGTGAAAGCATGAGATCCAGGCACGGAAGTGAGAAAGTACAGACCCTTGCCTCCAGGAAGCATTTGGGAATTTTGGTAGGAGAGCTGGGATTTTATTTGCAAAGAATCAGGAGCTGCTGCAGGTGATACAGCAAAGGCAGGATGTGATAAAATGGTGCTGTAGAAAATTATCCAGATGGTAATGTATGAGATGAATCAGAGGAGGGAGAGAGAAGGGAAGACAGTAAGAGACAATTGTAATAGTCTAGGCATCCGGTCATAAAAGACTGGTTGGGGAGACTAAGGGTCAGCAATGACTCCTGGATGCCTGGGGGGAAGTCCTCCAGTTCTCCGTGATTTTAAATCTTTATCTTCAGCCCATTCCTCTCTCTTGAGTGCCAGACCCATTTAGGTTCCCCTTAGGGATCTTACTCAAAGTGCCTAAAACAGAACTCCTTCTCCTCACTCCCCAAACTGCTCTTCACCTCTCTCCCAGGTCCTTTCATTCTCACTGGACGGCATTTCCTGGTAACTGGGAACAACATCTCTGTCCCCTCTGGACCATGAGCCAGAATTAAGCACAAGGGTCAGATAGGTGTGGGGGAGTGTTTGAATGTTGGAAAGTTCCGGAATATTTAACCTTTGATTTTTGTTAGCTGGGCAAACCGGACCAACACACCACCGCAATCTGGGCCAGGGATTTGTTATTG